CTGTACACTATATACACTGTACACTATATACACTGTACACTATATACACTGTACACTATATACACTGTACACTATACACTATACACTGTACACTCTACAATATATGCTATATACTGTACACTGTACACTATATACACTATGCACTATACACTGTGCACCATACACTATATACTGTGAGTAAAGTGCTTGTGGACAGTTCAGGTCCCCAACCCCATGGAAATGCTGGGTGGAAAGCAGAGACAGGGGTGCGGGTAGGGGAGGCTAGAGCAAGCTGGCTGACTTCATTAGCCATGGTTGGTAACTTTGTGCTCAGTTGGGAGACCACCTCAGTTAGTAAGGTAGAGTGGGGTGGACTGCGGGAGACCCCCAAGCTCAGCCTTACGTCTCCACATCACAGGCACACACACACACATACATGTACATGCACATTTAAAAAGGAGGAGAGGCAGATCTGTTACTTTAGCTTCTCAGAGTCTAAGGCAGGGCACTGAACGTTCACAGCAACTGGCATAGTGTCCCACACCTTTAACCCCAGCACTCGGGAGGCAGAGGCAGGTGGATCTCTATGAGTTCAAGGCCAACCTGGTCTACATGGCAAGTTCCAGGGGTTACACAGTGAAACCCTGTCTGAAAATACAAACAAAACATTCAAGACCTAGGGGTCACTGAGATTCTCCAAAGGTAAAGGCACTTGCCATCAAGCTGGATGATCTGGGTTCCCGCCTCCAGGTTCCTGTCCTGACCTCGCTGGATGGTGGACTACACACTATAAGATGAAATAAACCCTTTCCTCCCCAGGCTGGCTTTGGTCACGATATTTTATCACAGCCTTAAGGAAACCTTGCTTCAAAATAAAAAGCAAAAATAGGCTAGGGATATACCTCAGTGGTACAGCGCTTGTCTCTCCTGCATGAGGTCCTGAGGGTAGTCCCTAGTAGTACACACATGCACACACACACACACACACCATATACACTACACACACACACATACCACAAACATCATATCATACAACACACACACTGCACACACACAGCACACACATATACCACACACAGTACACTCACTACACACATCATACCACACACACACCACACAGCACACATACACTATACACAAATCACACACATACCACACACATATCATACAACACACACAGTACACACACAGCACACATATACTATACACACACCACACATATACCACACACACTACACACACACACACACACACACACACACACACACACACACACACACCCATGCACACTGGTTAGGATGCTAAGGTTTATGATGTATTTTACCAAATAACAATGCAAACCATACATTATAAATTAAAAGTCTAGTAATATTCCCAGGATGCCACTTTGAACTGTGTCCTAAACACTCAGACTTTGTCACTTTCTTCTGCAGAGCAGTTTTCCTGAAAGAATTGAGAAACAGATTCTCCAGTATCCTGAGGAGAACCATAAGGCCACTCAGGCAGGTGACCCAGAGGCTGTCTGTCTGGGAGGTCCTGGGGTCAGAAGACCCTGGTGGGATGAACGCTTCCCTTACTTGTGTATTTGTCTTCTAATATTTTCAGATATTTATTAAAGAATTTTAATGCAAATTATTAATAAAATAGCTCTTCCTGTGCTGGCTAGTGTCATATCTTCTAATATTTTTCTCATCTGTAAAATGGGGATGGCTGGCCTCACAGGCATGTGACGATGTGAGGGTTTACTTCCGATGGGTCTGGAACATATCAATTGTAACTGCTCCATCATTTCTGGCTTCCTGGGGCAAGTGCCTTCCTTCCTCCCTCTGCAGCTTTTGGCTGAAGGAGGGAACGCACCGAGAGCCCCATCATGAATTCCTTCTCCTGTAGTGAATACCGTGACATTGACCCAGGACAAAGCCAAGTCATCAGGGAGGTCTCTTGGGAGGGATGCTCTTTGGGCACAGTCCTGACTACTTGTTTGTAAACAAATTGTCCCTTAAACACACAAGGCCTGCCATTCCACAGCACAGCCTTGTAAACAAGGGTGGGATGTTTGTTCCCATTCAAAACACATCCTTTACATCACATGGAGTGGAAATCCCCTTTGGCAGACTCCTACCCACTGCTTCACTGATCCAACAGTTACTCAGCAACTCATAGGAGCCTAGGTTGGGGTGTCCCAGGAATAGGTGGCTGGCTGCCATCATACCCTGCCCACCCCCATGACCTGTGTGACTTAGCCCTCCTGTGGTTCCCTATACAGCCCCGAGGCCTCAGAGCGAGGGAAGCATCTTCATCTGTGGGCGTCCTGACCTGACAGCTGACACTCCCGAGAAGCTGGCTTTGTTCTGAGAATGGCCAGGTGGGGTGGGAAAGACCCAGAAATGTCAATTCTCAGAGAAATCAAGGTGAGAATCAGAGCCTTGTCCCTCTCCAGCCAGGCGAAAGCCGGGGCAAAACAGTCCTTGTGAGAAGGGGCCTGGACAGTGAGAAAAATGCGCTGGAGATACAGGCCTGTGGGGGAGGCCTAGCCAGGGGAGGGGCTGCGGAAACATCTGGCTTGGCCAAGTTCCCAGTGGGAGATTTGGCTAGACTCATCTGCCGTCCCAGGGGCCAGGACAAGGGGCCCTCCTCCCCACCACCAGGATGCTGAGCACTGCCAGGAGCTGAGAAGCAACAGAAAAGCCAAACACCTCACACATCAGTGGCGGAGCCAGAGCCGGACTCTACCTCATGCCAGACTTGACATCGCCTCTCTTGGCATCACCTCATAAGAATGTTTGCCCACAGTGCACTTCGGCTTCAAAACACACATGAGTTCATCCCCCCATTATCAAATGCCCAGAGTATCTGGATGAATCTGAAATATCCTTGTAAATCTTTATCTATGAAAACTGTATAATGGTCCCCAAAGTGTACAAGAGGGCAAAGGGGTGTCCATTCCTTGCCTGATGGGACAGTGCTCTCCCATAGGGTCAGCTTACACAAAGGGACGGGAAAAGACTGACACTCCCCAGAACAAGTGGGCTTCTGGGGCCTCCTGACACAGGGCGAGCCCTGACTTAGAGGAAAGTGTCCTGTACTGCCAGCACAAAAGCCCTCCGCCCACAGCATGGCATGTTAGTCTGGGCAGCTGGGTAGGCTCTGGTGAAGGCCAAAGCACCTTCTCTCCATGGAATCGGCTTCCGGATGCCATCGGAAGTAACCTCAGAGAAAGAGACCCCACACTTGCAAAATATGAGGTTGTGCCCCAGCCCTTCCCCAGAGTGGATACAAAAGAAAAAAATGAAAGCAAAACACCCAACATTCCTGAATCCCTCAGACTGAAAGGGGAGGGGCTTCGGAAAACCGGAAACATCCATCACACGTGGACTCCCGTCCAGTTCCCAAGAGTTAAAGCTGTTTGTGACACACACAGGCAGCTCTCTGATCAATAAACAGAAAAACCAATCATAACCTAGTACGTTACAGTTCCTAAAGATATACTGGAAAGCCAGGGAACAGAATGAAGTTCCAAAAATCGCTCCTCAGGGATCGGAGCCATTCCTGCACAACTGTTATTGTGGAGACGCTGTGGTTTGCTTAGGAGGTCTTAAGTTTACAAGGGTTTTTTGTTTGTTTGTTTGTTTTTTGAGACAGCCTTACTCTGTATCCTATGCTAACTAGGAACTCTCTGTGCAGCCAAGGTTGGACTTTAACCGATAGCAATTCTCCTGTCTCAGCCTCCCAAGTAACAAAATTACAGGTGTGAGCCACTATGCCCAGCCAGGCTCACGAAATGGCACTATTTGGGGACGCCATGTAGGTCACCGGAACCCTGTCAAGTCCCGGCTCCTGCTCCCTGTTGAGCTTCGATATGAACACATCTGCTTCTGCTGCCATTAATTACTCGATTAATTACTCGGTCACTCTTCACCTTCCTTGCCATGATGGACAAGAGGTCTAGATACACTTTTTTTTCTTCCACAAATTATTTCTGACAGCGTGTTACTGTAGTCACAGTGGAAAAGCAGGATATTTGTACACGGTGTGAAAATGTATCGCTGTGATTGGTGGAATAAAAAGCTGAGTGATCAATAGTTAGGCAGGAGACTGGATGTCTCAGCTGGTCTTCAGTATACACATATTCCCGAGACAGAGCAGGCAAAGAGAGAGCTCATCCTGAACTGCAGGCAGAGAGAGACTGGGCCTGATGTGGGTTTTTGAAACCCCCAAACAACTTCCAATGAGGCCACACGTACTCCAACAAGGACACAGAACCTAGTCCTTCTGAAATAGTGCCACCTAAGCGTGTAAATATATGAGCCCATGGGGCTCTTAGTCAAACCACCATGAAGCACAAGTTACGATGGACTCTAGGCTGCTGAAGATACCAGGAATATGGAGCATTTGCTGACCTGCAAGCGATGAGTAGAGCCAGTCCTGTGGGGCATGGGTGAGCCCTGAGTGAATAAGTATGGAAGAAGGCGGGCTGTTGACATGGGCACAGCTGTGTCAAGGATTTCAGTGCTGAGCACAGCCCTATGGGAGTGGCAGAGCCTTCTCCCCTGCAGTTCAGACAAACAGCAAAGCCTCTCTCAGGAGTCTGAGTGGGAATATTGACAGTGCATACAGAAACTGTCCACCATAGCTTTCTCTTCTTGAATGTTTATGGCCTGAAGATTGTTCTCTGCAGAGATTTCCTCCTTAATCAGCAGTATGCAGTGACCCCGCCTCCTGTCCATCTGTATGTAGTGACCCCGCCTCCTGTCCATCTGTATGCAGTGACCCCGCCTCCTGTCCATCTGTATGCAGTGACCCCGCCTCCTGTCCATCTTTATACAGTGACCCCGCCTCCTGTTCAGCTGTATCAACTTACCCCACCTCTCTGTCTCACTGTTGAGCTGTTTGTGATGTCCCCACCTGTTGGGGAAGTCCTGTGTATATGTCAATAAAGCACTGTTGGCCAATAGGGAAGCAAGATAGGTGGGACTAGGAGTCCAGGAGGACTCTGGGTAGAAGAAACACAGAGAGTCAAGATGTAACTGCCATAGGGATAAGAAGCCCGGAAAGTTCTCCGGTAAGAGAAATACTTAGATTAACAATTACTTAAGTCAGAGCTATCCAGTAAGAAACAAGCAAGGCCAACAACTTCATAATTAATACAGCCTCCTGTGTGTTATTTGGGACTGATGCGGCTCTGGAGCCAGGCTGGCGGGAAGGCTTCTCTTTACACCCACCTCTCTGTTTGGCGGTTGTGGTTGTGGCTTCTCCATCACAATCATGTGTCTGTCTTTTCTTTGTTTCCTCTCTAGTCCCCTTGGAGCCGTGGAAGAGCACGAGACAGCCCAAGAGAAATGTGTGCTACAAACAGCAGTGAGATATGAGAAGGACCACCCGAGCCCTTAGGGTCCCGATGATGCTACCACAAGTCCCAAATGCTGGACACGCAGCTTCGGAGCTGCCTTTTGGGACCCAGGTGGGTCACTGTGGTTTAACTCTCAAATGTGCCTGCGATGGCTAGTTTTGCTCCAGGTGGGTCACTGTGGGTTAATTCTCAAATGTGCCTGCGATGGCTAGTTTTGCTCCAGGTGGGTCACTGTGGGTTAATTCTCAAATGTGCCTGCGATGGCTAGTTTTGCTCCAGGTGGGTCACTGTGGGTTAACTCTCAAATGTGCCTGCGATGGCTAGTTTTGCTCATCAGCTTGATGGGATTTTGTGTCACCAGGGAAACAAATCTCTGGACGTCGCTGTGGCACATTTTCTAGATTAAGCTAATGGGGCTGAGATCTACACGTGGGCAGCACCATTCCCTGCACGAAGTCCCAGACTAAAGGAGAAGGGTGATGAGTAGAAGCATTCCTTGCTCCCTGCTATTTCGTTTTGAGACAGAGTCTCACTCACTGTGCAGCCCCCCAAGGGGTGTGCTCTGCTCCCTGCTGCATGAGTCAAGTTTTTGTCACAGCAACAAGACAGGAGACAAGCACAGCCCCCACAGGCTCGGGTCTGAAGACTTGTCCCTGTTTGGTGGTGCTGTTTGACAGGCTGAGGGACCTTTAAGAGGCGGGGCCTAGCTGGTAAAAAAGGTCACTGTACAGGGCTTGCCCTTGAAGGTTATATACCTGCCTCCCTTTAAACTTCTTTTTGCTTCCTGATCCGCTACGATGTGAATAGCCAGCGCCACACACTCCCGCCGGCATGACCGCTCTGTGATGGGCTGAAATTGAGACAAAGTAAAAATTTTCTTCCAGGAGGGAGGGCACAGGGGAGGGAAACAGAGAGGGACCTGGAATTGACATGTGAAGCAACCTTGTTTCTAATTTAAATTTAAATTTAAAAATAAAAAATATATTTAAAAAATTTCTTCCAGTACTTTCTGTCAGGAACCACATGTAATCACAGTGATACGGGCACACCTAGTGCAAGCCAGGTGTGACCGCACATCTGGGCAATCCCATCCCAGTTGAAGGGGTGCTCCTTCTACCCTGACAGACCAAACTGGAAAGTCTTTACCCAGCATGGATGGTGATTTTCCCACGGCCACAGCCAGGGAGCCCCCTCCCCTAATCGTCGCTGGCCTAGATCCTCTAGCCCCTCCCAGAGGCTCTGGGGTTAGGGCAGAGCAGCACCCAATAGCGGTAGGGAGTGGTTGGATGCCTAGTTGAGGGTCTGTGACTCTCCCCTCTGTGTGAGGTATAAGCAGCGGACAAGCCCGGCTGGGATGATCTTTTGCAGTCCGGCACAGCTGAACTCCTAAAGTCAGTGACTGTTTGGCTTAGAGGACAGTTCAGTGCAGCAATGGTAAGAGCCCTTGATCAACTACCTGAGTTTGATCCCTGGACCCATTTAGGGGAGAAGACCCACCCGTGCTGTGTCAAGGTCACATACACATAGAAATGAAATAAAGGATTTTTAAAATGTGTATGTGTGTTTTGCCTGCAAAAATGTCTGTGGACCATCTGTGTGCCCATGGAGGCCAGAAGAGGGCATTGTATCCCCTGGAAGTGGAGTTTTAGAAGGTTTGAGCCACCATGTGGGTGCTGGGAATCGAACTCAGGTCATCTGGAAGAGCAGCCAGTGCCCTTAACCACTGAGCCACCTCTATTGCTCCTTAAAAAGAACCTTCTAAAAGGTTATCTAGTCAGGTAGATACTGGGGTTGAGACCATAGCTCAGGGCAGGGGCATGTTTAGCATACAAGGCCCAAGGCTTGAGTTCTGTTTCCAACACACACACACACACACACACACACACACACACACACACACACACACACACACACACCAAAACCTCAGGAAATTTAAAGTAGAATCAATAGAGTTCTCTGGCTACAAGTGCCTTTTCCACTTAAAATTATTTTCTTGTGGGGCTGGAGAGCAGTTAGGGATTCACGCTGCTCTTCTTAGGTGGTATGGAACTCACTGCATAGCTAAATGTAATTCTCCTGCCTCAGTTTCCTGAGTTCTGGGGCTACACCATACTAAGCTAGGGTTTCTAAATTTTGTGGGTTTTCTTTTCTTTTTCTTTTTTTTTCGAGGCAGGGTCTCTCTGTGTAACCTCTGGCTGAGCAGGGTGTCAGTATGTAGCCTTGGCTGGTCTGGAGCTTGTGGTGATCCTCCTGTCTAAGCCTCTCAGGCGCTGGATTGCAGGCAAGTGTCGCCACCATGCTTGGCTCCTATATGCTCTTTAAATCAAGGGGCAAAGACTTGTGTGATGGCATAGTCTTTAATCCCAGTACTCTGGATTAAATGTGTGTGTGTGTGTGTGTGTGTGTGTGTGTGTGTGTGTGTGTGTGTTCCTATTGCTACTTTCAAAGCCTGCTTCGAAGTTTTTCCCCTAGAGTATTCCAGCCAAAATAAGAAAAAAAAATAGGGCCTTCTAATCTTCTAATTAATGGCTTTGCCAATCACAGCAGAGTCATCCCTTTTGAGAATGTAAATTTAGGTCTGTGGGGTTAACAATTGGTTGGAGTGAGGAACAGTTAATTAAAAGATTGACAGTCTCCACAGTGAAGAGCAAGACAGGTGGTTATGAACGTCAGGGACCCTGAGCAAACAGGTCAAACCCTTGAACTCGGAGCAATACTGAAATTCCGCTGTCCATCAAGACCAAACCTGCTCTGTCTGCCATGCAAGCCAAGAAAGGCTGAGCACTGCAGAGAATTCCTTAGAAACCAACCTTAAAGAGCGTGCTGTTTTGTCCAACAAATGTGGCTAATATGACCAAGGAACGAATCTGCTGCTAAAATTCAGGGGCATGTGGGGAGTTGGTTTTTCTTACCCAATTTAGCTGTCCTAGATAAGGTGTGAGCACCTGAAAAATTAAAAATTAACTTTTTTTTTTTTTTTGCTTTTCGAGACAGGTTTTCACTGCGTATCTCTGACTGTCCTGGAACTCACTCTGTAGACCAGGCTGGCCTTGAACTCAAAGAGATCCTCCTGCCTCTGCCTCATAAATTATGGGATTAAAGACATGCATCACCACTATCCTGGATGAATTCATGTTTTTAAAAACTCAAAAGTTGCTGGGCATTGGTGACGCACGCTTTTAATCCCAGCACTTGGGAGGCAGAGGCAGGTGGATCTCTGTGAGTTCGAGACCAGCCTGGTCTACGGAGTGAGTTCCAGGACAGTCTCCAAAACAATACAGAGAAACTCAAAAGTTGCCCTAAAATGCTGGTTTATTGCAGTTTGAAATTCGTTTGTCTTATGTCCCTTTTTCCCTTCGGAAGAACTGTTACCATGGTGCCTAGGCTGGCCCTGAATTTCTGAGCTCAACTCATCTTCTTTTCTCAGCTTCCCAATAGCTGGGACTGCAGGACCCAGCTGCCAGCTAGGGCCTTGGTGGACACAGGGGTGGCTTTCCAGGGTCTTCACGGACACAGGGGTGGCCATCCAGGGTCTTCACGGACACAGGGGTGGCCAGCCAGGGTCTTCACGGACACAGGGGTGGCCAGCCAGGGTCTTCACGGACACAGGGGTGGCCGGCCAGGGTCTTCATGGATATAGGGATGACCTACATACTCAAGAGCCAGTGTAAAAAGCTTGTGAAGGAGGAATCTTTCCTTGGTGTTAAGTTTTTGAGACAGGGTCTTATTGACTTTCACAGCCAAAGCTGGCCTTGAGTCCTGAGTCCTCCTACCTTAGCCTCCTGGATGCATAATCACAGGCATGTGCTACACCCAACTGAAAAATGATTTTATAAAGGGAATTTTGTGTGTGGTCAGGTTGGTTGTGATCGAAAGGGAATTATTCATATGTTTCCCTAGAAACTGAGTTTTACCACATTATCCAAACACAGAATTTTCTGTTACTGTTACATTACTGTCACACTTCTCTTGAAGAGTAAGCTCTTCTCTGTAAACATTTTGAGAGGTCTTGATTTTTAGTTTTGATGCCATGTTTTACTTTTTCAACCGCCTTTGGGACTGCAGCTTTTCCCGTCTTACAGGCTCCACTTAATTTCTCTAATTCTGGGTTTTAGATGCTATCTCCTCTATTTAAAGTAGCAATTACATTTCTCAGAGTGGTCTTTTCCTTTTGCAAATCCATCTCCCAGAATTTTGATTTTTGCTGTGTCTCACAATCAACTTCAGCAGGTTGTGTGCAATTCACTGCCTATGGTGTGTGTATATGATATGTATGTATATGATATGTGTGTGAGACATGTGTGTGTATATGGTGTGTGTGACATGTGTGTATATAGTATGTATGTGTGGCATGTGTGGTATGTGTATATGGTATGTAACATTTCTGAATATCGTGTGTCACATGTGTATATATGGTGTGTGTGTGATGTGTGTATATGGTATTGTGAAATGTGTGTATATAGTATGTGTAACATGTATGTGTGGTATGTGTACATAGTATTATGTGACATGTGTATGTATGGTGTGTGTGTGATGTGTGTATATGGTATGTGTGACATGTGTGTGTACAGTATGTGTGACATGCATGTGTGGTATGTGTATATGGTGTGTGACGTGTATATATGGTATGTGTATATGGTGTGTGATGTGTATATATGGTGTGTGACGTGTGCATATGGTGTGTGATGTGTGTATATGGTGTGTGTGTGATGTGTGTATATGGTATTGTGACATGTTGTATATAGTATGTGCGACATGTATGTGTGGTATGTGTATATGGCATGTATGTGACGTGTGTGACGTGTGGATATGGTGTGTGTATGGTGCGTGTGTGTATGGTGTACACATGTGCTCATATGTGTGCAGGCATGTGTGTGCCATCATGCTCATGTGCAGGGCAGAGGGCAGCCTCGGGTGTAGGTGCTTGCCCTTGCCCTTGTTCTGAGACAGGGTCTCTCAGTCACTGCCTGGCAGACTGGGCCCTTGAGCTCCCAGGATTGTCCTTTCCTCTCATCTCACCATGGGTAGCAGCATCTCATCTGCCTTCCCCAGGTTCTGGGGCTCCAAGCTCCTGTTCTCACACTTGCAGGCCACTGCTATCCGCTCAGCAATCTCCCCGGCTTTCTCCAAGGTCTATGGAAGCATACGAATAGATCTGTACAGCTGGCTTTTCTTTATGTGTCTGCTCTCTGGTGTAACAAGGAAATGGCATGTGCCGTGACTGTTACCTTTTCCCCCTGCTGCCCTGTTGGTGTTTGGAGACAGGGTATTGCTACATAGCCTGACTGGTCTCACATGGCAATCCTCCTGCCTCAGCAGGGAGGAGCAGGGGGCAGGGGGTGGGTAGCAGGGCTGCTCTCCCGCAGTGCAACTCCAGCAGGCAGTAGATACAGGCTTCCAGAACAGACATCACCGATGGCCTCCAGACCTATGCCTGGCTTCTGATACCAGCAGCTCTGCCCACAACAAGTAACAGAAGACAGAGGACTCCATGATGTCATCTGATGCGAGGAGCAAAGCTTCCACACAGCAGCCCACAGCCAGGGTCGCAGGGCGCTATCAGCAGCTCGGGAATCCTGCAGCTCCGGGGATACCTGCAGCACAAAGTCCAGTGGTACTGGCCTCCAGGAGCTCCTTGCACAGGACAATAGCATCTGCTTCCTGTCTCTAGTCCACCCTCATTTAACACTTCAACAACATCCACTTTCTGAGTTCTATTCATCCCAAGAGAGAAGATGCGCTGTTCCTAGCTATAGGCTCTCCTGGGGTTGATTCTACGTTTTAGCAACATAATTTCTTGTGTTTGTATTTCTTTGGGTTTTGTTTGTTTTTCAAGACAGGGTTTCTCTTTGTATCTTTGGCTGTCTTAGAACTCACTCTGTAGACCAGGCTGCCTCTGCCTCCTGAGTGCTGGAATTAGAGGCATGCACTACCACTGCTCAGTTTATAAAACAAATTTTTAAATTTCATCTTTTCTGGATTCCTCCTTCCTGGACTTACTCTTTTTTTCCCCCTGGATTTATTCTTAATTTATGAAAGCCAACAGTATGCTGCTCCTGGAAAGTTCCTTAAAATAAATGTGTATATATAAACATACACATATACATACACACATACATACATACATTCATGTGTTGGGTCTGTAGGCCCTTTTAATTCCAACATTCAGGGGGCAATTGAAGGCAGATCTCTTGAGAGTCTGGTCTACATAGTGAGTTTCAAATCAGCCAGGACTATATATTAAGGACTCTTTTTCAAAAACAAAAAACAAAAGACAAACAAAAACCCAATAGCTCTCCTGCTCACTCTGTGTGTGTACACGTATCCAAAAAACCTTTAGATTTATATATATGAGTGTTGTGCCTGCACGTATGTCTGATGTCCAAGGTCAGGAGTCTGATTGCCTGGAACTGGAGTCACCGGTGTGTGCTGGGAACCAAACACAGGTCCTCTGCAAGAGCTACAAGTACCCTTAGCCGTGGAGTCATCTCGATAGCTCCAGCCATTTTCTTTCATACTTAAATTTGTATTACTGTTGTGTGAGTATGGTCTTTGCGCACCTCAGTGCCTGTGCAGGGGTCACAGAAAACCTTCCCAAAGTGGTTTTCTCCCTCCCCTGTGTAGATCTGGCGATGACACTCAGGTCCTCAGCCTGTGAAGCAGGTTTACCTGTTGAGCCATTGTGATGGCTCTTTTAATCAGACATGGAGTGAGGTTGGCTGACAGAACAGTGGTCCTTACCTGCGATGTGAGAAATGCAGGCTTGCTCTCAGTCTTGCTTCTTCCATGTTCTTTCAATGCTCTGAGCCTACACAGGGCTCCTAACATTCAGAAACTGCTCCCAGCTGAGGCCGACAGGCCATAAGCCTCCATCAGTAACACTGCCTCTAAGATTCATGAAAACAAATGTCTCCATGTGGTGGTTTGAAAGAAAATGTCCCCCAAAGGGAATAGCACTATTAGGATGTGTGGCCCTGTTGGAGGGTGGGGGTGGGCTTTGAGGTCTCCTATGCTTGTCACACTCAGTGACACAGACCACTTCCTGTTGCCTGCAGATCAAGACTAGAACACTCAGCTCCTCTAGTACCATGACTACCTGCAGGCTGCCATGTCCCAGCATGTTGGACTGACCCTCTGATACTGTAAGCCACCCAAGTAAAAGTCTTTCTTTTCTTTCTTTCGAGACAAGGTTTCTTTGTATTCTTTTGGAGGCTGTCCTGGAACTAGCTCTTGTAGACCAGGCTGGTCTTGAACTCACAGAGATCCACTTGCCTCTGTCTCCCGAGTGCTGGGATTAAAGGCATGCACCACCAACACCTGGCTCCTGGCTACCTATGTGGTCTGGTTGGCCTTGAATTTAAGTTGATCTTCCTGCCTTTGTCTCTTTAGTGAGCACCACCACACCTGGCTCCGCCCCTTAGCTGTTCCTTCTGAAGACAATGGCAAGCTGTGGTTTTTCCTGCCATGAAACTAATGGTGTGTTAGTTATTTATGTGTGTAACTGCAGGGGTCCATTCCCTTCTACTAAGTGGGTTCCAGAGATCAAACTCAAGTCATCAGGCTTGTACCTTCATCTGCTGAGCCACGGTACCAGACCCCGGTCATGTATTTATTCACAGCCTAGAAATGGAAATGTTTAGTTTCAGGACAGAGAGAGGAGGGCGCATACCACTTAATGAAAGCCCTAGTGCATTTTCCATTAGTGTGACTGTGACTCTCTCTTCCTCCCCACCTTCAACAGTGTCACCACACAGCCTCGGCTGTCCTGGAACTCACTGTGTAGACCAGGCTGGCCTTGAACTCAGAGATCTGCCTACCTCTGCCTCCTGAGTGCTGGGATTAAGGGGATAGGCGGCCACCACCAGGCATGTTCTTTTTTCTTTTAAGGCAAAGTGTCATGTATTCCAGGTTGGCCTTGAACTCACAGCAATCGTCTTGGCTCAACTTCCTGAGTGCTGAGTGTACGGGAGTGCATCATGCCCAGCTTTGGGTTATTCAGAATACAGACTGCTAATAAACGTGTTTTCATTAGGAGATGAGAAGAGGGAGTATTCTGTGGTTTGGTACAAATGCAATTTTTTGCTTACCCACAAATCCACAACACAGAACCATGAGCAGAGGTTAGAAACAGATGGGATGCCGTTAAAGGTGTGGCTCTGCGATAACCCATGCTGCCTGGTTTCGAACGGACAGCAGTAGGTTTCAACGTGTCTTGGCATCTATGAACCAGTGCACCGATTTCCACATCCCAGTGGAAGAAAACTAGCACCACCTGGCCCGTGCATTCTTTATTCATTTAACAAATACAGAAAGAAAATCTGCAATCGTCTATCAAAACTATATCTTACCAGGAGTTTGAAAGGTATTTATTTAAAAAGTTGTATTCACAGTCTGTTATGTACAAAGTAGTAGTACCCATAGTAGCAGAAGCCAGGCAGTGACCAAGGCAGAGTAAATGACACCCAGAAATCCTCACCCTGGCCCTTGCCACTCTGCATTGGCCTTCATTCACCAAGTATGTGTTTGAATAGAAGTGTTTTCACAGAAAACTTCCTGCTGTGCAGGCTACACTCCAGGGCCAGAGGGAGCCCCTGCGTCCAAGAGAGGAACATTGCTTCCCCACACTCCTGGAAACAGCTTTGACATTCAAGAAAGGGTTCATTTCAGCACCGTGGTGTGCTTTGTCATGTGTAATTGGGGTTCCCTATCAGATGAGTAGACAGATGAGGTACAGAAGACCCTGAGATGTAGCAGCCTGTGGCTCTCTAGCTGGCACCGAGGGCTGGCAAGAACTAAAAGCAGTGCCTTTTCTTGTTCTTTAACTGCCCATGGTTGGATAATCCAAAGACAGGAGAAGACCCCAGGATTGCTTTTGGACTCTAACTTATCATCCAGATACAGCATTATTTCCATTCTAAGGATGAAAGCAAACAGTCAGTTTCCAGGCTATCCTCAAACTCAACATTAAGGACCTACTGGGAGTGAGGAGGGATGGGTCAGGTTGTTCTGCATAGATCACCCACCCTAAGGCTCATTTAGAGAGTGGGCTTGCACAGGGCGCTGGTGGCCCACGCCTTTAATCCCAGCATGCACTCGGGAGGCAGAGACAGGCAGATTTCTGTACCTTACAGCATTCCTTTTGTAACCCTCAGTGGTCACTGGCCAAAGTGCTCAATTGGTTTGGTCCTCAGCACAGTACACTGGGCACAGTGCTGTGTGTGGATAATCCCAGCTCTTGGGAGGTGAAAATTTAAGATCACCCTCAGCTACATAATGAGTGTGAGGATAGCCTGGGCTTTCTTTCAGAGAGGGAAAAAGGAAGGGGAAGAGGGAGGAATAGGAAATGGAAGGGAGGAAGAGGAGGGAGAGAGGAAGCGAGGAGAGAGGGCAGGCAGGGTTCTGGCTTGTCTTTGCAGCCTTAGATTCCTGTGCCATGCAAGCAGACTAAGCAATGCCTGTCTTTCAGATCTTCCAGGGTTAGGTCACAAATGCAAAGCCTGCCTCCAGGGCCAGAGACACAGACGTCCTTTAGAAGCCTGATCAAGAATGTACATAGGGCCAGCAAGATGGCTCAGCGGGTAAGAACACATGCCTCCAAACCTGAGGATCTGAGTTCAATTCCTGGAACCAACCGCTGGTATTTGTCCATGCTCCATGCCTACACACACAGTAAATAAATGTACTATATTACATATAGTACATATATGTTATATATACATAACTCAGCATGGCGGCTCATGTCTGTGATCCCCAGTACTTGTAAGGTGAAGGCAGGATAATAAATTTAGGTCTAGCCTGTGCTACACAGGAGACCCTATCACACACATTTGCTTAGGACCACAGACAGGACAAGCAGGGAATACTTGGGCATCTTTCACAAAGGTCACTAAAGTGAAGTTTAAAGTGAAACTGTTCTGTGGCTCTTTGCTCCTCTTGAAAGTTAACAGATTGCTTTTAGCTGCTGCCTTCGCTCGTCTTTTCTTCCTCCTGGAGAAATGCAGTCACTGGGCGTGAAAGCTGTGGCCCTAGACTCCTCTAACACAGCAGGATCAAAAACAGGAAAGAGCCCTTCCTCTCCCGCCAACTCCTACACGCCTCTCATCTGCAGCCGGCACGCTGCCGTAGATGCCCTGTGACCTGTAGGCATCAGACCTGAGCCCTAAGCTACTGCTTTTCTCCCACTATTTTCCCACTAAGTGGGTTAGAATCCGTGGCTTCACCCCAGGTGCTGCCTGACTTTCAGCCACGCCGCTCCGGGACTGAGATACTCACACACACACAGCCTGTGTCCCCTTGTCACGAAAGACACGACAACTCAGGACCCTTACACCAACTGCTCTGCCTTGAATCAAAAGGCGTGATGGCTTCCATTCTGCTGTCTTGGAAAAGGGGCTAGAGAGACGGCTGGGCAGGTAAGTGTTGTCTAGCGTGCACCTGGTGACCTGAGTTTGATCCTCAGAATCCATGTCAACGTGGATGGAGAGAGCAGACACCACAGGGTTCACCTCTGACATCCATGTGTGGGCTGTGACGTGTGTATGATAAAATGACAGCCTCTCCCAGCACAAGCCCCTTTTCCCTCATGTGGCTCTTAATTTTCCTGCTCTTTTCATCAGCTGAGATGAGCCTGTTTGGGCTTATGTTCTTTAAATATAGTCGGGGAACTGAACCCAGGACCCCAAGGATGCTGAGTGCACCATGCTTTCCCAAAGAGCTGTACCCTCATCTCCTCGTGTGTGTGTGTGTCTGTGTGTATGTGTGTCTGTGTCTGTGTGTCTGTGTGTCTGTGTGTGTGTCTGTGTGTGTGTGTCTGTGTATGTGTGTGTGTGTGTGTCTGTGTGTGTGTATGTGTGTATGTGTATGTGTGTATGTGGTGTGTGTGTCTGTGTGTCTGTGTGTGTGTCTGTGTGCGCGTGGGGGGTAAGGGTACTGTTTTTCAGGAGTCACCCACCTTGCTTTTTGACACAAGTCCTTTCATTGGCCTGGGCCTCGATGTGGCTGGCCAGCAAGCCCAGGGATCCACCTGTCTCCACCTCACCAGGGAAGGGATTAGTAATAGGTACTAATCAAACTCTTACTAGGATCATCCCAGGCTGAGTGAGGAGTAGCTCATTAGTGGAGTGCTTGCTAGTATGTCCCAAACACCAGGTGAGATCAACAGTCACACACACACACACACACACACACACACACACACACACACACACACACACACACACCAGTACTATTGTGTGACCCAAAATGAACTAACCAGAAGCCCAAACCGGTTCCTAAGCTTTTTGGGAGAGCCAACAGGCCTTTCTTGAGCTACATTGTTTTCCAGGTGATCTGTCTCCTGGCTGAGGGACTGCCACAGGCACAGGGAGCCCTGTCCAGTCTGTGCACGCTGCCCAACTGAGCCACAGCACCCGGCTCACCTGCAGCTCGGCCGCTGCCCACTTCACATGGTGATGCAGACACGAGGGAAAAGGCAGCTGAGAAGCCACACCTGCCTTGTGCCTGTGGGAGGCTCCTGATCTTGGTAGCTGCTTTAGTCTAGACTCTAGGTTCTCCCACAGCTAACCAAGAACCAGCTTTTCTCCAAACCCTTGTTTTGCTACAGACAATTGGTTCATGAACTGACAAACTCCAGCATTGGACATTAATTCAAATTCTGTAGTTTTATTATTTTTTTTCCAATGCTGGGGATTGAACCCAGGTCTTGCTAGACAAACATTCTACCACTGAGTTCTACCCCAGCCCCTAGTTTCAATTCTGACCCTGACAGTGGGTTGCAGAGACAAAAGAAAAGCCAGGACAGACTGCTTCACCAGCCACTTTACACTTTAATTCTTTGGGCACACATCCTATTCGCCCCTGAAGGAATTACGACAGCTAGGCCGCAGCACTGAGTAGACACATTATTTGCATCATATGAGGCTGTGACCTGAATTATCGGGTCACTTGCTACCTCCCAGAGCTGCCTTGTCTGCTGTCAAAGAAAACTGATGTGAGGACAAGGAAGGGACAGAGAGAGGAAGCGTCTGGGGCAAAGGTAAGCTTGCAAGTCTAAAAATGAGGGGATTGTGGGAACCCCAACTTACTTAATGCTCACAGGCGACTGATGAGCAATAGTTCCATCATTTCCAGAAATTATAAACTTTGGAACCTGAGGTTATGACTCTCAGGATAAAGCAACCCCACGCAAGTCCAGACTGGCCTTGGGAAGAAATGGCAACCACAGATGACAGTGAGTGTCAGTGCTTAAGAACAAAAATGGTCAGAGCCTCGGATGTGACAGGAGTGGGGTCTGCGTGGAGATGGTATCCTTATTTAAATCTTAAAAGTGGGCAGCGAAAGAGCCTGAGAGTGAGGCCCAGGCCCAGGTCACCTCCCCCCAGAGCCCCTGGACAGTGCAGGCCTCAGCTAGCACATGCTTTATTTCCACACGGCGTGGGAGTGGGGGTGCTGTCTGCTTCACGCCACTTCATTTGGCCTCCTGAGAGCTCCCAGTGTTGGTAAAATCTCCATCCCAAGGGTTACACTGCTGGCAGAGCACAACAACTTCTTGGCCCAGCATGTTTGCTTGTCCTTGTCCCTCAACTCTGGTAGTTTCTGCAATGATGAATGTTGGAAGCCGTTTTCCGTAGATGCCTCCTTCCAAAGTCCAAGAGTGCAGGGGGCCAGGGGAGCTTGGAAGGGAGCTGCCAAAGTCCAGCTGGAGTCTTGACTTGGTTAGATGAGGACACGAGAAAGTCACCTATGTCCTCCTCAGGTATTTAATAATCAAAGAAGAGACATCCATGGGTTCTGGCTGCAGATGCTAGATATAAAACTGATGGAATGCAAGCTGGTCCATAAAGGGCTGCACGAGATAATCCGTGGCAAAGTAGAAAACCAGCCCGAAGGTGATGGAGATGGGCAGAGCTGGCAGGGCCTTCTTGAAGATGGCGAGTAGTAGTAACGTAAGGCACAGGCCCTGTGGGGACGGAGGGACGCACACTCAGCATTGTAACATTTTAGTTATTCAGTACCACATCAGTGAATTCACTCCTTCAAGTTTAACTCTTACAACAAAAGTTTCATGTTGTAAATCTAGTCATCAAAGAAAAAAAACATAGCTTCTGCAACTGGACCTGATGGCACATGCCAGCTACTCAGCAGGCTGAGGCAGGATGACCTAATCCCAGAAGCTTGAGACAAGCCTGGGCAACACAGTGAAAGCTGGCTCAGAGATTTGAGGGGATGTGCGCGTGGAGGGTGGCCGGCTATGAAAATGCAATTGTTGCTTTTTATGTCCATTTATACACATAGTCCAGACCAGCTCAAACTACATCCTCCTGCCTCAGCCTGCTAAGTGCCAGGACATACACGTGCACAACGCCTGAAATAAATAGAACTCATTTTAGACCATCACATGTAACTGAGGCTGACCTCAAATTCCCCAACAGCTAAGAATAACCTTGAACTTCGGGTCCTTCTCCTCCTATCTCCACACTGCTGCGCTGGCCACCAGGCCTGCTTTATGTGGTCAGGGACTGAACGCCGGGCTTTGTATATGCTGGGCAGGCACTCTAGCAACTGTACCATTTACCTCAACTCTAAGCAGTAGGAAACAGTTCATTCATTATTAGGAAGTCAGATTTTTGTTTTGAAGACAGGATCTCACTATGTAGCGAAAATTTTAACCAGGCAGAGATCTACCTGCCTTTGCCTCCAGAATACTAGGACTAAAGGTATACACTAAGTTTCGAAAGCCACAGGCACTATAAGCAAGATGGGATTATGCACTGGGCTAGCTTCTCTCACTCCACACCTGCTGTCCCAAAGCAACCCTGCTGCAGACTGAGCATCGAAGGAAAAGCACTGAACACTCTGACTCAGCACGCGGATCAGGAGAGTCCTTGCTGACTGCCATGCTTCCGGGCTCTCCATATAGTGTCTAAGCAGAAGTGTGATTCCCTGGAGAACTTTGGAATTCTATCTCAGTGTGTGACACCAAAACCACAGTGAGTGCACGGCACTTCAGTTCATCAGACTCTGCAGTGTACTCCTTTACAGACCAGACACAGCGAGGCTGGAAGCATCAGGCGATTTTAATGTGCGGCCAGAGTGAACTACTCAGACAGGGTCTAATTACCGTTTTTAAAAAGCTTCTCAAGGGACTGGAATTCTCAGCCTATCTGGAATCCAAAGAAAACTGCTAGGGCCAGGAAGATGGCTCAGCAGGTCAAAGCCCTTGCCACAAGCCTGATCCCTGGACCCATGGGAAATGTGGATGCAGGGGCACTCACCCGTGGTCCCCGCACTCCTGTGGAG